CTCCATAGTTCCAAAAACTTCGATCTAAAATCTACTTCAAATATTCAACGCCTGGCCACGAAATTCGTTTATATTAGGCAGTGAAGAGGTGATCAAGTTTATTGTATGTTGACATATTTTACATAAACGCAAGCAGAGTGACGGGAAATGGCAGATGTGAAATGCCTGCATGTTTTACATGTTTAAATAATTGTATATAGTTTTCAAAGCGTCTTCGGCATTTTGAAAAGACCACTTGGAATTGATCGCTGCTTACTACCGGATGGGCTCTGTTAGGTGTATACTGACTGTTTAGCCCCAAATCACTTCTTCTGATGTTAGAGAGGCTTAAACATATGGGATGGCTTCAACTTAGAGATGGCTTCAACAAGCCCTTGGGCACTTGGCTTGATCGCTGGTTACTGCTGGATGGACTCCGTTAGGTGTCTACTGACAGTTTAGCCCCACATCAGTTCGTCTGATGTTAGAGAGGCTTCAACATATGGGACACAGTTAGTAAAAACAGTAACCTTTACGTGAACAAAATCAAGTTTTGTTTTTGAAACTGAATAAGTGGGCCTACGACTAGAGAGTTCTAGAACATTTAAGGATGAACTAGATCGTAAAGCACCTCCAATGCTTAGAACTTTTAAGAACTCAAATAACCGCATAAAATTGAGAATCAGATCTACATACTTTGATTGTAACCTGACAGCAACCAATTAAAGGGTTGGTAGTTTTTTATTCAAATTTTGAAAAACCATAAAAATTTGTGAAGCTACCAAATTTGTAAATTTGAAAAAACTTAAAATGAACTAAAAAACGTCACATTTGAACGCAAAATTTGCAACTCACGAGAGTACTGTCACAAAAGCCAACTACAGGGTTAGAAATTTCACATTGAGAAACTTTTCAAATTTAAGTTTTCTAAAAACAAAACTTCAAAAACCAGGAAAAACTTCGCATCCTAGACTTGGTCGGTCAAACTTGAAGACAAGATTTGCAAGCCCTGAGAGTACTCTGACCGCCCCAAACTACAATGTTAAGAATTTCAAATTTTGAAAAAAAAGTTAATCTAAGTTTTCTGAAATCTTTTTGAAAACACCTAAAAAAACTTCATATCTGGAAAATTCATAAGATTTGAGCAGTCATATTCGGAGGCACGATTCGCATCCCCTGAGAATACTCTGATAGCCCCAACTACAGAGCTGGGAACTCCAAATTCTGGAAAAAAAATAAATTTGAGGTTTCTGAAAACTTTTTAAAAAAACCTCAAAAAACGTCATATCTCGAAAACTATAAGGATTTGAGTAGTCATATTTGAAGGTAAAATTCGCAACTCCTGGGAGTACCCTGAAACAACCTCCTTAAAGAGATGGGAGTTTCAAATTTCTAAAAAAAAATTATATCCAAGTTCTTTGAAAAATCTTGAAAAAGTCCTATAAAAAACGTCAAATCTCGAAAACTACAAAGATTTGAGCAAACAAATTTGAAGGCAAGATAATTTGCAATCCCTGAGAGTACTCTGAGAGCACCCAGCTACAGAGTAAGGAATCTGCAAACTTATAAAATATATTAGGTTTTCTGAAAATCTTTTGAAAAAATAGCAAAAAACGTCACATCTGGAAAATTACAAGGATTTGAACAATTATATTTGGAGACAAGAGTCGAAACCTCGGAGAGTACCCTCTAGCTCTCAACTACAGGGTTGGCAATTTCAAATTTTTGAGAAAAGTTAATTAGGTTTTCTGAAAATTAAAAAAGAAAAATCACAAAAAACGTCATACCTCGAAAACTACAAGGATTTGAGCAGTCATATTTGGAGGCAAGATTCGCTATCCTTGAGAATACTCTGACAGCACTCAACTACAGAGTTGGGAATCTGCAATTTTGAAAACAAATTGATTTAGGTTTTCTGAAAATCTTTTAAAAAAATCACAAAAAAAACATGTATATATATATACTTTGATTACTCATGATGAATATTTTAATAAATAAATTAATTAATTAATAAATAAATGTATGTATATGAATGCTCATGTATATGAATGCTATGAATGAAGCTCAGTTTGAGGAGATTGTTTTGCTAAGTTATCAACATACTGCACAATTTTTTCAGGTTCATTTCTGTGCTTTTCAACATAATCAAGGATTTGCTGATCCGACCCGGGACTTCGAGGAGACACTCGTTTTGGCGTTGTCGTGTTGACATTTAGCCTCATTGTTGCATCTTGATTTCCCAATTGAAAAATTGATTTTCTCTTCATTGCCAAAATTTGCGCTTTTCCAGAAGCAAGCAACGTTTCCGCATCAACCGAGTCTGCAACATTATGAGTGAACACCTTCCCGTTCTTACGCTTGATAAAGACTTGCGGTGCGCAATTGTTCGTTGTTGTTTTCAAATTAAGGCCTTTCATATACTTGAGTAAAACCGAATCTCTCTTTGTCAGTCTCTCAAAAAGGTATACAGGTTTTTTATTGATCTGATTGAGATAATGTCGTAAAAAATGCTTTCTTGCCCAGATACGGTCTTTCACATCAAATTAGACAAATTTCACAATAATGGCTGGGGGGTTTTTATGTCGCAAATTGGGCCTAGAGGGTGACACGCTACCATGGAATCACGAGGCACATAGATGTCAATTGCTTCACGAAAGAATGCGAGTACATCTTCTACATAATCAGAGCCATGTCGCAGAGGTAAATTGTTTATAATGATACAATCTTTTGAGGAATAGCGCTCCAGATCATTTACTTTTTTCTTCAGAAAAATTAATTCATTTTTCATGTTTGCGATGGTACCGCTTTGAGTTTCAACATGGGATAAAAGATCTTGCAGAATTGATTTCAAAGATGGATCAATATCATTCGACAGTTGGTTGATATTTCTTTGATAATGTTCAACATCATGACAGCTCCCACTAAGGTGTAAGAGTTATCTCAGTGTACAGTCCAAATCTGAAACTATTTAATAAGTTTATCACAACAATTAGGCTGTATATACATATACAACATATAAATATAAATATAAACTAGCAATTAACGCACCTTCGGTGTTTCGAATTTTTTCGACAACTCATGAAAAACCGCATATAGTGGAAACAACATCTGCAAACTTTTAGTGTACTCTGACTGCACCCAATTACAGGGCTGGTAATTTCGAACTTTTAAACTTTTAAATTCCCATTTTAAAAGCGTCATCTCGAAAACTTAAAGGGCCTCTAGAGAAATTTGGAAGCCAGATTTGCAACCACTGAGAGTCCCTGAGAGCACCCTAATATAGGGTTAGGAATCCAAAATTTTGTGAATTTTTTCAAACCTAAGTTTCTCGAAAAAAAAAATTTAAAAAAAAAACGTCTTATCTCGGAAACTAAAAGGATTTGAGCATTCAAATTAGGAGGCAAGATTTGAGACGCCTGGTTGTACGCTGACAATAAGATTGTATCTTCATCAAGTTAGTAGTTTCAAATTTTTTGAATTTCTTTGTAGATAAGTTCTTAGAAAGTTTTGAAAAAATCGAAAAACGTCACTTCTCGGAAACTAAAACATTTGAGCAGTCGCGTTTAGCAGTCGCATGTGATAAGATTTGCAACTCTTTAGAGTACCCTGACAACACCGAACTATAGAGTTGGGAATTTCAAATTTTGAAAAATAATTAATTTAAATTTTCTGAAAATTTTGAAAAAATCACAAAAAACGTCACATCTCGAAAACTAAAAAGAATTGGTCAGTGATATTTAGAGGCAAGATTCGCAATCCTTGAGAGTACTTTGACAGGACCTAACTACAGGGTTGGGAGTTTCAGATTTTTAAAGAATAATTAATAATTTAAGTTTTCTGAAAATTTTTGAAAAATTCACAAAAAACGTCATATCTCGAAAACTACAGGGATTTGAACAGTCATATTTGGAGAGAAGATTTGTAACTCCTTAGAGTACTCCGACAGCACCCAACTACAGGGTTGGGAACTTCAAGTTTTCTAAATCATTTGGTTATTTGAAATTTCTGATTTTTGAAAAAATCTTAAAAATCGTCTTATCTCGTTAACTAAAATTATTCGGGCATTCAAAATTGGAGGCCAAATTCGCAACCCCTAATTCGATATTGGGCTGCTTAATTTAAACTCGGTAAAATAACCACTAAAATCAAATTGGAAAATCGAAAAAAAAATCTTTACCATTGCAATATACGATATAGCTTAAACATGCAAAAATATTACGTTGAAAAAGCTTAAACATGGCGAGATAGTGAAGCCCGCATTTAAATATATACTAGATAGATATACATATATCTATATATATAAATCGAAAACTACAAGGATTTGAACAATCATATTTGGAGGCAAGAGTCGCAACCCCTGAGAGTACTCTCTAGCTCCCAACTATAGGGTTGGGAATTGCAGATTTTAGAGAACAGTTAAGTTTTCTGAAAATGTTTTTAAAATCACAAAAATCGTCGTATCCAATACACTAAAAGGATTAGGGCAATCATATCTGAAAATGAATCTGGATGTCAATTAAATTCAATTCAGGACATAACCAGGAATCAAAATATGTATAAAATAGTTTGAGTTCAGGTCTCGAGAACCCTCCGGATTCTGAAATCCGGGGAAATAACGTTCTTATCTCCTCTTAGGGGTAACCCTGACAGCATCCCACTATTGGGTTGCTGTTTTTAAACTCGGTGAATTAATCTCTGAATTCAAATTGGAAAATCGAAAAAAAATTGCTAGCTATTGCAATATAAGATATTCTTTCGTTAAACATGCATAAATAATACGTTGAAAAAACTTAAGCGTGGCGAGATAGTGAAGCCCGCATTTAAATATATAATAGATTTGCACTTTTTCCTTATTTAATTTGGTTATATACCGACTGGTCGCAATATTCTGTGCTAGTTGCTCACTAACCGGCTATACTTGTTCAGGTTTAGATGCTTCTTAGTTCGTCAAGATTAGAATTTAAACATGCCAATACGCTCTTAAGGACTATTCGTATTTGATGTTTGATTAACTCACATACCTCAAGCTGCATTCCGTACAGGGTATCTGGTTTTGACTTTCCCTTCCACATATATTCAATCACTTTCTTCGATGGTGACTCTTGCTGATTAGGTTCTATAGCCTCAATCCACATCACGTGTCTTCTGAAGTTTGGATTCGTTGCATGAATATCAGCTTTTCGGCATATTCTGTATATATGCACAGCATCCACGTAGTGCCGTACGAGCAACCCTTGGTCGGTTGCTGATCGGTCTCTTTTGTTGATGTAGAACTTCGGCGCTTCTGTCAAGTCTTCCGCATCTTCCTGGTACGCTTCAATAGCGATAATGGTATTGTACTTTGAAATACACCTAAACATCTCCAATAAAAGAAACCGCAAACTGTCCTACAGTAAGCTACGCGCAATTTTAGACTATTCAAACCTGTAATACAGCTTGTTTCGAGTTGAGAAGGGAGACCATGACCATAAGTCAAGACCCGAAGTGTCGCAGTTTGAAGCAGATCCTGCTGATGACACGACGTAATATCCATTAGTTTCTGGGTACTCAGGCAACGCGTCATCAACCGTTTCGGAAAAGATGATTTCAAAAACCTGCATTGGACTCAAAAGTCCGTGCCCTTTTGAAAATATGGCAAGCTCAACTTCAATTTCTTGCTCTGCCGAATAAGCTTGATCATATTCATCGTTAAGAACTTGCCACTGTTCAGCTTCAACTGCCGGTTCTTCTTGATATACTAAACTTCCAATTTCGGCTAACTGATTCTGTTCTACCAAGGACATATTCTGCAAAAAGATATATGCTGCAATTGGGGAATTTTCTTATCATTGTGAAGTCATGGGCTTTTCTATACTAATAAACTACAAAAAAAAATACAACGGATACCTCCCTTTCATCTTTACTTTTCCACTCCATACTCTCAATCTTTGCATATTCTCGATGACCTCAACAAATAATAAGATAATTCACGATAACTCACTGACTTACTGCAGAGAAAAAAATTAACGTTTAAAACAAGGAAGACGTCGGGGTGCTATTATCCGACACAAAAACCGGTTTCAAAGTGCTGCTCTAGAGTTTGTTAACACTTCCAACACTAAGGTGTTAAGCATTACTTGCGATACCACAAAAACCTACCATTGAAAGCTAGTGGACGGAAAAAGAAGCCATACGGTCGATTTAAATAATTAGAATTGTCGAAAAACCTATCTACACAAACTTCATACATTTCTTGAACTTTGGATCCAATTTAACATCATACAATTGTTCTAATCATGTGAACAAATTTGTGACTCATTCGATCAGCTTGTGCTAAAATTTCTTTTAATGGTTTGCTTCGAATTTATTAATTCCAATTTTTGACTCGTTTGTCTCGAGTTTTGTTTAATTGGAGAAAAAACATGCCTAAGATCCCCAAAATTGCTGTTAAATAAGCACTCAGAATAATTTATCTAGCGGCAATTGAGCCGACAAGACTTAGTTACGAACCAGTTGATCCGAAAACCAAATTGTCACGAATAATGAAAGAGCTTTGATGAAATTAAATTTCAAACGTTTTCGCAACTATGTGCATCGTCAGGAATTTTACAATAAACTAATCTAGACGAGAAAACATCAATTTACAAATGTTGTTTACAAAAATTCACATAAGTTTTGGTTCTAAACCATCATGTTAAAAAATTAGCCAATCACAGTTAGTTGACTTCTAAAATTAATATATAGATTAAAATACTTTTAAACTCTAAAAATGATAAACTCCAAAATCGAATAATTAAAGGATACAAGACTCCCAAGACCCCTCCGGATTGAGCGCAAATCAGCTGACCCTTCCGGATTGAACGCAATTTATCATTAACGTGCAAAAATGCTCAAATAACCTTACAGTACAAGCCTCACAAACGGGCTACGAAATTGATCGTAACGATCCTGACTGATATAAATGCCTATAACAACAATATATCTATCAACAACAAACGGGAGGGTCGGATCACATCTTGTCTGGGGGGATGATTTCTACTGATTTTTTACTTTTTTACTGTTTTTGGTTTTTTTTTTCGGTTATTTTTTATGTTTTTTGTTTTGCTTGGGTACTATACTACTTTTTGTTTGGTTTTATATATATATCGTTAAGTGTTTTTGGTCACAAACCTCTCAGGGAACGACGGGACCGCGAATCCCCCCACACTTCCTGGTTCGTGAATTTTCGGTCTTAACTAGGTTAAAAAGCTTTTCACGGTAATCCGGAAGGCTTCCGCGTTCCGAACTATTCTTCCGCCCCGGCGGTTTAGGCCTAATAAGGGCGTTAATGTGCTCGTTAACGGTTCTGCCGGTCATGATGTTAAAAAAGAATAACACCGAGGAGCGCCATAAAAACATCTATGTAACATTCGCCCGGAAGATACATATCGAGGGATAATAAAACTACGTCCTAACACGACTGGCTAACGTCTAAACAGAGCTTTACATGTTTTTAACCGTCTCTACCAAGCCAATACTTTCGGTGGTATTTCTAACATCGGGTCGACAAAAAAGGTTACTGCTTTCGGCTTCGGTCAAAACACTCAAAGTAACTTAATTACATGCAGAAATAAGGAGCTCATGGCTGGGTCTCAATATCCCCAGACCACGAGGTCACTCCTAAAAACAGGGCTACTACTATTTATTAAATTATGATTGTTTTTGTTCAGTAGATAAAAATCATCATCTCCATCGAAGATGGATCAACCCTTTCCCCCAACTCCTAGCTTCTCATCCTAGCAAAATGAATTCAGATGTTAATTAAATTCAACTCAGGAATGACAGGGAAGCTAAAAGTTTATATAAGTTATTAAAAGTTCCAGTCCCGAGACCCCTCCGGATTCCTGAATCCGGGGAATTAAGGCTCTTATTCTCCTTCCGGAAGGCTGGTTTTCCACCCTTCACCGTTGTTCGCAACGGCCTTGCAACTATTGTAGCTACACAATAGTTGCAACTCGGAGCGGTCTTGTAACATTCGCCCGGAAGATACATATCGACGGAAAATAAAACTAAGTCCTAAGACGACTGGCTAACGTCTAAACAGAGCTTTACATGCTTTTCACCGTCTCTACCAAGCCAGTACTTTCGGTGGTATTTCTAACATCGGGTCGACAAAAAAGGTTACTGCTTTCGGCTTCGGTCAAAACACTCAAAGTAACTTAATTACATGCAGAAATAAGGAGCTCATGGCTGGGTCTCAATATCCCCAGACCACGAGGTCACTCCTAAAAACAGGGCTACTACTATTTATTAAATTATGATTGTTTTTGTTCAGTAGATAAAAATCATCATCTCCATCGAAGATGGATCAACCCTTTCCCCCAACTCCTAGCTTCTCATCCTAGCAAAATGAATTCAGATGTTAATTAAATTCAACTCAGGAATGACAGGGAAGCTAAAAGTTTATATAAGTTATTAAAAGTTCCAGTCCCGAGACCCCTCCGGATTCCTGAATCCGGGGAATTAAGGCTCTTATTCTCCTTCCGGAAGGCTGGTTTTCCACCCTTCACCATTGTTCGCAACGGCCTTGCAACTATTGTAGCTACACAATAGTTGCAACTCGGAGCGGTCTTGTAACATTCGCCCGGAAGATACATATCGACGGAAAATAAAACTAAGTCCTAAGACGACTGGCTAACGTCTAAACAGAGCTTTAAATGCTTTTCACCGTCTCTACCAAGCCAGTACTTTCGGTGGTCTTTCTAACATCGGATCGACAAAAAACGTTACTGCTTTCGGCTTCGGTCAAAACACTCAAAGTAACTTAATTACATGCAGAAATAAGGAGCTCATGGCTGGGTCTCAATATCCCCAGACCACGAGGTCACTCCTAAAAACAAGGCTACTACTACTTTTTGAATTATTATTGTTTTTGTTCAGTAGATAAAAATCATCATCTCCATCGAAGATGGATTAACCCTTTCCCCCAACTCCTAGCTTCTCATCCTGATCAAAATGAATCCAGATGTTAATTAAATTCAATTCAGGACATGACAGGAAGCTAAAAGTTTATATAAAAGGATAAAAGTTTCAGTCCCGAAACCCTTCCGGATTCTCGAATCCACTGAATCAAGCACGTTAAACTTGATTTCTCCGTAACCCGGAAGGCTGTCTTCCACCCTTCACCGTTGTTCGCAACGGCCTTGCAACTATTGTAGCGACACAATAGTTGCAACTCGGAACGTTCTCTGTCAACTCCGCGATTCGTTGTCGTTTCTTAATCACAATTTCCGTTGTTCTCGCAATCGCAACTAATGTTGTTCTGTTTCTTTTTAGCTCTTCCGCCAATCTGGCCGTTTCTGACGTTTCTCAGAAATGTTACGTCATCACTTCGAAAATTTAAAATTTCAAAATACCAGAATATCTTGACCTTCACCGTTCTACTAATCATCGGAATAACGTCGTTAATCCTTCAAAATCACTAACTCGGAAGGTTCGCTGCTAAAAATTCCTAAACTGCAGAGATTGCATTTTTTCCATTCTGGTCGAATGTCACATACTCCCCGGACAGTTTGGTCAATGTCCTCATTGAATCACGCAATGTTCGTAAAATAGATACAGTGTCATCAAACAGAATTTACAAAACGCACGAAATTACTTTTATCCACGTCACATCGACTCACTGCAGAATATAAATGGCGTCATACCACATCACTATAGTCTTCAAATACTTTCATTAATCTGCACATTGAGGATATGACCTAAGATAAAACATATTTTCTGACTTCCAATGTCAATGTCCCGATTAAAACTTTTTCTCTTAGATTTAAAAGGTGTTGGTTTGCAGGACAGTCCTGCCAACCAACAAGCTAAAATTATCCTACTATACTTTTTCCCTTCGGAAATCTTGCTTTTTATTGTCCTGAATATTAAAATTAAGAAACTCTGTGGTTAGAAAGAACAATGAAACAATCTCCCTCTTCGAGAGATTACCCAAGCCTTTCATGTCACCACAAAGCGATCAGTTCTCCTAGCTGATTAAAAACAGTCATGCAGGCCGGAATATTTAAATATACTCCTTCACTCAAGCCTCTGTAAATAAATAGTAAGTGAGTGTCTCTAAAGCCACTCAACTAAAATCAAAATGCAAATTTATAAATGCAACAATTTCAAAACTCAACTAAATGTTTCAGTTTTCAATTACAACTTGGTTGCTTGGTTTCTCACTTGAGTTTTTTCACACACATAAAACAATTCTGAGTTTTAACTTTCTCTTCATCACTCCTTTGTTTTCTTCTTTTTTCGTCGTTTAGAAGTTCTAAAACTTCTAAATTCTTCTAATTTCGTCTCTTTTTGCATCTTGTTTTTTCGGTCATCCGTCAATGTTCCATTTCTTCCTCCTGTGATACTGACTCTGCACTCTCAGTTCCCGTATCCTGCAACACGTCGTTAGCTATCCTGACGCTGCTGGAAGCCGTCCTCCAACACTTCTGCTCTTCTACCCTCTGTTTGCAACAAGTTAGGGGATCCACGATAGATTCTCTGTTCCTGCAGAAGCTGTTGTGGAGACACAACGTCACGTTTCTCTCCAAATCTTCCTTTAACATCTCTGCCTTCTCCTTTCCACTACGTTCACTCGTCCTGGAAATTCTTTTCACAGCGGTGGTCGCTGCATTCCGATGAGTCACGAGAGCTCGCTTGAAAGCTCCTGCTCCAAAGTCCAGCTGAAATTAACTGTACACCCTGCCGTGCTTTGACATATGCTTTTTCGCATATTCGTACAACCATGCAGTCATGTTAGCTCTGAACCATGGCATCAATCGTTTT